TTATTGAGTGACTATTAAGTGGAACTATCCAGTCGAATTAGTGTGAATTATTGTGCGTCGATGGTTTGGGTTTTGATTTAGGACTTACCGGGCGTTAAGCAGTGCCCCGCTATTAACAAGGTATTCACTGAAATGGTTAATTATTTTTGGTTGACTTTTACTTCTTTGTTCTTGTTAAGTATTTATTTGCGGTTATAATTAAATACTGTTTTATCTTAACATTAAAATCTTGAGTCTTAACATTAAAGTCTTGAGTCTTGAAGTCTTAATCATTAACGGCCACCATACGTCACAAAAAATTATATATTTTTGTCAGTTAATATAAATTGCTATATTGTACTGCGTATATAAAATCAAATATAAATAAAATAAATATATAAAAATAAATTAATGAAATGTATAAAAAATAAAATAAAAAATAATATATATATATATAAAAAATAAAATATAAAATTAAATAAAATTAAATACATTAATATTCATTGCTACATTATATATAGATGGCCGTATACACAAAGATATGAAGAAAAATATATACGGAAAAAACAAACAAAAATCCTTATATACAATTATGCTGTTTTAATGTTAATATGTCAACGTCGGACGTTTCGGTCTAATAAACCATCTTCAGGACATATTCATAAATTATAACATTATCAATACAACATGACAAAGACGATGTACATAAGAACAAGACTTATCCAAACAAATAACTGAAAGTTTTATAAGATCAGCGTCCGTTTAAAACATGGTCACGCTGTCGTCACGTGGGCGACGCTGTGAAAAACGTATTCCTAAAATTTGAGTTTTTTTAATGAAAAATGAGAAAATTCTATTTTGATATACAATTTATATGTACGCTTGTCGAGCATTAATCTCGCTAGAAAAGGGGGAAATACTAAAGAAGCCAGGTCTAGTATTCACCGTGCGTGAGATGGATATTATGCCTGCTTCATAAATCCGCCTAAGATTTTATTATGAAAATATTTTTAAAATCTTCACGGAATCAAAATCGAATTATGATCTGCTTTAGTTGTGTGTACAACTATAGCATTGTTTAAATTTCCGAGGCCAATATCTCGTTTATGTTCGAAAACACGAGATTTTACGGACCTCCATGTTTCACCCACATATTTTAAGTGACAGTTTTTGCATGAGTGACAGTTTTTTGCATAATTGCATATAAGGATTTTTGTTTTTTTTTCGTATATATTTTTCTTCATACTGTCGGATCTATATCCATATATTTGCTTACACACAAAGATATGTGTGATGAGTTGGGTTGGTTATATTCACTTAGGCACAAATAATCTTGGGAAAGGTATGAATCCATCACTTCTCCCCCAACAATGGGTTAAATAGTACTATTTGTATCTGGAAAAATCAATATCTCCACAGAATTGTTACTGCAATATTCATTCAAAAACGTATTTTTACAATCCAAAGTATGTTTCGGCTTTAAATAACCCACAAAGGGTTGATAAACCTTAAAAAACAAATTAATCCAGCCCATAATTTTATTTTGAGCGTGTGTGTGTGTGTGTGTGTGTGTGTGTGTGTGTGTGTGTGTGTGTGTGTGTGTGTGTGTGTGTGTGTGTGTGTGTGTGTGTTGTGAAAAAGTTTGATTTTATGCCTGCATTTCAGGGGTGAGAAGTTATCATTATTTACATTATTTACAACCTTTACAATATTATAACATCGTTTCAGCCGCTCTATCATCAGGACTTATTCCGATGCCTCCTTATTCGGGTAACCTTCATAGAATTTCAAACAGAACTTCATTTAATCTACCTTCACCGGCAAAACCCTGAACGTTACAGAGATTGATAACATACCCGAAGAAGGTCGGAGGGTACAACGGCCGAGACTTTATGGTAATAATTAAAAAAAAAAAATATTCCGACTGCAAATAATTATCGAGTTGCAGAATAAAATCTTACGAGAGGAACTAGTTATTGTACACATTTCTAATAAATAAATAAAAACATGTCGTTAAATGAAAGTTACGTGTAGATATGAGGGTAGGGTAGCGGTTAACGACTTGGAAACTGAAATCAGCAAACCGAGTTCGAAGACCGGCCAAATTCATCACATTCACTTTCACACAAATGAGACAGGTATGGATTCATCTCTTCTAAGTTATAGATAACATAAAAGGTCAAACTAAGCTCTCTAGCATTGTTTGCCAGCCAGTCTAGGTGAAAGACACCGATTTCAAAACTGATTGGTGAGCTAATGGGCTGATAGTGTTTCTTAAGTCTTGGATGGCAATGGTGACCCAAAAATGGTTCCTCGGTAAAAACGCAGACTCGTAGAGATGTGCCAACCCTAGAAATACGCGCAGTGAGTTCATTTCTTACGACACATGAGTTGGGCGAACTGTCGCAGGCGGAGACAGCGTCATTTTTTCACGTTCAGTATTTAGGGCATAAAGATATTTACCAACATCGTTTGGTTAATACTAGGTATCCTCTCTAATTCACTACAAAAAGAGCATGCCCTGATGAAAAAATGCCCCAAACTTGACGAAAACAATTTTTTTATCGGGTTACGTTATTATTAAGAGGAAAGACCAAAGTATTTTGTTGATTATTTTTTTTTTAATTTTTAATTCTTCCTAGCACGTCCGAAATTTTAGTCAATAATCTTGTTTTTTTTTTTTAGTCAGCAAAATTGCCAAAACTGGTTGATATCCGCCATTTTTTTACAAATATATAAACAAAAGTTAAATTCTCCGTTTAAAAATCTTGTAAAAATAAACACCTTCTTCAAAAATTAATTAAGGAAAATTAGAAAAATAAAATTTTATTAATGTAACTGGAAACAAACATTACTTAATTTTTTAGCAGAAAAATATTTAGTTGAAAATAAGAGAAGCTTGTCTAATCGTGGTGACTTGTTTTGGAGGTGTTATTTGACGTTTACGTCAATGTATTGACAGCTTACGTGAGAGGAAATTATCGAACGGAAGGACAGAAATGACAGTATTTTCCAATTTTAAGTAAACCAGCTTATTTAACTATAGAGTTATTCTTAAAAATTAAATACTTTCAAAAGTCTAATATTTTATTGATTTTTAGGTACTTTATTTTTAAGAAGATATGTCCAAAGGTTGAACTATTTTCGTTCCTAAAATTGAATCTAAAAAAGAAAATAATTAATAATTGCAGTATGTCTATGACCAAAAAAACAATAAATTAATTATATTTAAAAAAAAATAAATTAAAATATTTAGTGAAATAGGATGTACAAATGAAAATAAAAATGGTGAAAATGAGACGACGAAGGTCAGTCAGAAAATTTGACACGTGCTCACCAGAAGGGAAACAAAAAATTTTCTGGGGACATGTTCTTGCTGTCCGGAGAAAAAACTCTTAAAACACGTGAAATTTATGTCTGAAACGTCCATCCATATATTTGGAAAAAGCCTTTTTAAAACGTTTTTTGCAGTCAAAAATATTTTTTAAAATACTTGTGTATCGCAGATTGTAATAAGCTTTCAAATTTGTGATCTTTAAAAATAGATCTATTTAATAACAAAATTCCCTAAAAGGCATGAATTGAAATTTAATTTTAAAATATTTAACACATTTATCACATTTTATATTTAAAATTGAAAAAAAACACAATTCTTGTAAAAATTAATTGTTCATCGAAAAAATATTTTGGCTTCAGATAATATTGTCCTTAACATATATTATTCATAAAAGCTATTAAATTCTATTCTAATGGAATATTGTCTTAGTTTTATTGGGTTTTGTATTTTACAATTCAGAGCTTTTTGAGTAAGTGTGTATTTCGATTTTACAAAAAAAATCGATGATTTATATTTTTCAAAGTCTTCTGCTTTTAACGGATATAATCACTAAAAGGCACGCGATTGAATTTCTTGAGGTTTCGTAAAATTAAGTAAGGATGGGGTGTAACAGATGTAAAAGAGATATGTTTATCATGACTTAAAAAAAAACATGTCTAAAATAATTTCATTCATTTCTGAATAAGGTCTGAAAGTTTTATTAAAATTCAACAATTATTTGATTTTTGCAAGAATTTCCAAATCAATGTGTTTTTCGCTTGAAAAAAAAAAAGGTTAAAATACCAATAGTAAATATTACGTAGACCACTGATGTAAAAAAAAACAAAAAAAAACAAAAAACAAGAGATTTTTAACCAAAATTTCAAACGTGATAGAAAGCATGAAAAAATTTAATAAAATAATAAAAAAATACTTTGGTCTTTCATCTTGTTACTAATATAAGCATGTTGACGATAAAACTTTTTTTTTTTTTTTAAGTTTGGCGTTTTTTTTCATCATGCTATGCTACTTTTTCAGCGAATTAGTGGAGGTAACAAGTTAATACATATAATGAAAAAATGCATAATAAAATCTGACATAGTGTAAAAGAAATCCCCTATAAAAAACGATTGCTAAAATGAAATATAAACTAAAATAAAAGCGTACATTTGCATCGAATTCGTACGTAAAAGCACAGTTCTATTTCCGTGAAACAATCCCATGATGCATTGCACGAAGGGTCTAAAGTCAAAAGGTTCTTTTTTTTATTCTTGCCAGAAACTAGGCCAACGAAATCGCTTCAAATAGCATGATTAATTCAGTTCTGTTGTTTAAAAGGGGCGATCAATTTTGATGGAAATATCGTCCGCTGTTGTGTTTGACATAGGTCTTAGCGGGATGAGGATAGTGTCAAAAAAATAAGTAACAGGTGCTGGCAGCTGTGTGTGGCCAGAAAGTAGGCAATAATAAAAGGCGGCGTTTGAGATGGGCTTACGGCAATTAATTGACGCTGGACACGAGGAAGATGATCAGAACGGGCTTGTTGTTGTACGAACACGGCGAAAAGGAATTGATGTCAAAAAGAAAGAGAAAATGAGATAAATTAAAATAGAAAGAAAGAAAGAAAGAAAGAAAGAGAGAAAGAAAGAAGACAGTGAAGTGGAAAGGACAGGAAAAAAGAAAGAGAAAATCGCTTTAATTAAAATTAAAAGATGGTAAAAGAATAAGAAAGAAAGAAAGAAAAAAAGAAAGAAAGAAAAAATGAAAGAATGAAAGAAAGAATGAATTGATGAATATAAAAGAAAGAAAAAAGAACGAAAGAAAGAAAGAAAAGAAAGAAAGAAAGAAAACAAAGCGAAGTGAAAGGACAGGAAAAAAAGAAAAGAAAAATCACTTTAATTAAAATTAAAAGATGGTAAAAGAATAAGAAAGAAAGAAAAAAGAAAAAAGAAAGAAAAAAATGAAAGAATGAAAGAAAGAATGAATTGATGAATATAAAAGAAAGAAAAAAGAACGAAAGAAAGAAAGAAAGAAAGAAAGAAAGAAAGAAAGAAAGAAAGAAAGAAGACAGCGAAGTGGAAAGGACAGGAAAAAAGAAAGAGAAAATCACTTTAATTAAAATTAAAAGATGGTAAAAGAATAAGAAAGAAAGAAAGAAAGAAAGAAAGAAAGAAAGAAAGAAAAAGAAAAAATGAATTGAAGAATATAAAATAAAGAAAAAAAAAACGAAAGAAAGAAAAAGAATGAAAAGAAGAGAAAGGAGTGGAAACAGGAAAAAAAGAAAGAGAAAATCACTTTAATTAAAATTAAAAGAAGATAAAAGAATAAGAAAGAAAGAAAGAATCAATAAATTGATGAATATAAAAGAAAGGAAAAAGAACGAAAGAAAGGAAGAACGAAAGAAAGGAAGAAAGAAAGAATAAAATAAGCAAACAAAAGAAAAGAAAACAAAAAAGAAAGACTAGAAGTAAGGATTAAAGAATTTCTCTTTCTTAAAATTAATTTTGAAAAATTGACACCCTTTTTCCAGATTTTTATTATTTTCCATCTGTCTATATTTCTGAGATGAGGTATTATGTATAGTATTTACATTATTCGGACTATTGTCCTCATCTTTGTTGCCATATTTATCACATCGTTTCGGCCGTTGTGCGCTCTGGCCTTCTTCATGTGGTTGGAATGTCCAACTGAACCCTTTATTTCACTAGTCTGTTCTAGTTCCACGTGCCATATGTAATGGATGTCAGTTATCAGTTATCTCCTGTTAATTCCTCTCTCCAAGTTCTCCACTGCCTTAAGCAGGTATTGAACTCAGAACCCTTCGGGTTGTCACTGGATCTAACCAACGCCTATATCCACTGTGCCATGTGGCCTTTATCCACTGTGCCATGTGTCATATTATTCGTTATTTCATTGTGAACCTTTGCGCACAGACGCACGCACACACACACACACCATTTATCATAAGAATCACTGAAAGACCCTTTGAATTATTCAGCTAGAAAGAGAACAGGCTTAAATCGTTTTGTGCCAGCCCCACTATGTCTTCCCAAATGAGCGTGAGGAAAAATATCATTCATGCCTTCAGTAATGGTACCAATCTTTATACTTTGGCTTCCATCTTTAAAGACCATTCCAGAATCATCAAGAGAACGGTGAATAAGTTTTGAAAGAGGGAACAGTAGCGAGAAAAAACTGGATCAAGAGTTCACAACAGGAAGAAAGATCATCGTTTTAACTTAGAGCTAAAGAGGTCAATTAGAAAAGATCCAATTCATAAGACGTTTGGCACTTGAGAGACAAGTTTCAGCTATGACAGTCCAAAGAGTAATGAAAAAAGGCTTGAAAATGAAATTGTATATGAAACCTGTTAGGCAGCTTGTTACACCGGAACACGAAGTTAGAAGATTAGAGGGGCCAAAGATCATCTTGAATAAGCTGGAAAATGATCCTGGAATAATATATATATATTTGAACTTTATTTCAATCCTTTATGAGCTTCCGATCCTTAGCTATGATTAATTAATGATGGACATATCATTTTCGTTTATGATCGATTTCATTACGATTCTTATGTTAAGCTTAGTAATTATACATTTTTATTGCTCAAAGTAGAGTCCAATAGCGTTATTAAAGAAAAAACTCGGAGAATGCCAGTAATATATCTTTAATCATTTTTAAGATACAACGGTTCAGATCTTAATTTAACAATTAGACAATTTTGCTGTTACACGATTTGGACAATTTTACTGTTACACCCGGTATATATATATATATATATATATATATATATATATATTGTATTGTTTAAAAAAGACAGACCACGTTAAGATTCCATGTAATAAGCTATTTCACCATAACCCCTTTAACAGGGTTCTGGATCATCAGACTTTACTTCCAAAAGCTGAAATGAAAAATGAAAAGAAATTCACACGTTTTTTACGGATCTTATATATATATATATATATATATATATATATATATATATATAATGCGATGGATAAATTGTAGTCTAAATTACGCAAAAATGAAAATAATATTGACACGTCATTTTAACAGATATATTTACCAAAATTACACAAAAATATCTTGAAATACTAAAGAGTAAGTTTATTTAATAAAATAGCCATTGGCTTCAACCACGACCTGTAGATGACTTCGGCATCTCCTGCAACTCTTCTGGACGGTCTCCTTGTTTAAGTTGGTGAATACTACCATAATCCTTGCCTTCAGTTCATCTTTGGTGTTACAAGGAGTTTTGCTGGTCTTTCGCTCAACTGCGCCCCGCACATTATAATCAAGGGGATTGCAGTCTAGGGAGTTAGGTGGCCAGATGTAAGGGGTGATATGGTCGCAGAAATTGCCTGCCAGCCATGACTGAGTCTCCTGCTTGTGTAGCATGATGCAGAGTCCTGTTGCAGCCACCCTCTTAAAACAGGGTAGTATCACCACCTCAAGGCACTTAATGTAAGCCTCCGTGTTAAGTCTGAGGACCTGTGGGAAAATTAACGGAGGCTTAACGTCACCAACACTAGAAACCACTTCAAACACCTTCGTAATCACCATTAGACTCATCCAAATCTTTCCGAATCCTCTGCACTGTTCTCAGGTTGACATCCAAACACTCTTAAGTGTTCGTATTGGAGATTCCGGCGCGAATGCCAAGAAGTACAGCATGCCATTCCCACATTTCTGGCAGAGTGAATTGCGTTATGGTGCTCTTTTTCTCATAGACGGTGCCCAACTGACCCTACTATATCTGCAGTCCATAAAATCAAAAACAAACAACGCGCATGCGCGAAATTCGACATATAAACTAGCGACAATTTACACATCGCACCATGTATATACACGTTGGTAACTCAGTATATCCGTCACCTGATTCAGAGCTGAAATTTTATCAGAAATTTTAACTGTATAATGCTTGATCTTTGTACCTAATATTCACTACTGGATTAAGTGCATTGACAAGGAAAGAGACCTTGTTGAAATATATATGTCGTATAACATAATCGTTTATCGTGAACATGCGGACAGCTGCATATCTTCCATCGAGCGCTGAGATTAATAAAATAGTGCTCGATGCAATATAACAGAGCTATAAACTATAGATTAATAAATATATTTTTTTATATAATAAAAAACATTATAATACTTATAATTATAATAAAAACATGTTGAAATCGCTACAAAGGAAGCTTTCATGTTTCAATATTATGATTGTACTTCCTCAGATGGTAACCGGTGATAAAAATTATTTTTTAGGGAATTTTAAAAACAAATCGTTACCTCTTCTCCAACAGTTAAAGGGTGGTGTGGCTTAAGGTCAGAATTAAAAATATACTTGTGGGTGTGTCTCGATTAACCAACTAAAAGTCAGATTTACGTTAAAATAGGGTGGAAGTGGGTGAGTTATATTTTCATGTCACGATAAACAGGTGCTTAGACCTGTTAATCCTTGAACGATTGTGGAGCATTTGACAGCGACAAATGTATTACGAATATAGCCAAATATGACATTCTATTTCTTGAACTGGTGGGGGATACATTTTTTTTTTAATTTTTATATTCAGTGAGCTTCTTAAGGGACCTAAAGATAAAATTAAAAATGTGGAATACGATTTTAATAATACTGAATAGACGGCAAAACGTAGCAATATTAAAGTTGAATAAATCAATTAAAGTAAATTACCCGTAGAGGATGTACCATTATATACTAATAAAATGATTACTATAAAATTGCAATACGTAATTGTTTTATATAAAAAAAAAAAAAGTTTAAACTATATTTTAAGGTAAAAGATAGTTTGTATCGGCATCTCACAGTTAATTCGCTTCTTTAGTTTTCCTTCACCTTTTACCTTTTCTTACGCACATACATCAAACTTCTTGGACATTGTTTTCCGTGAACATTGGTATAAGAAATACTCTAACCTCTCCCATCTTACAGGGTCCTTATCTGCGATTTTTGTACGCGCCACTGATTTTCAGTTGTGATTTACTAAGCGTAACTTAGATATGACACAAGGCTGAAAGTATGGTTCCAGCTATGACGCTTATTCAGCCGTGATTGATTTAACGAGGTAAGCCTGCTAACCATTGCACCACGTCGAAGTTCTCTTCAGGGTGAGTTTCTGCATGATATTTGGTATATCATTCGATTTGTTTTGATTCAGAATTTTGAATTTAGCGAAAATCAGTTTTAACATTTTCAATCGAACCTGGTTCTGAGAACATCTTCAGGCATATTCTTGAAGAAAAATTGATATTTGGATATCTGGAAGCCATTCATTACTATAGATATACTGACGATGTTTTTAATATGGACGCATTGCAAAGATGGCCAGCATGTTTTTAATACATTTATCAACAGTTAACAGGGCGCTTCGAAGTGGTTTAATGGTTAACAATCAAGGTCTCGCTAGATCAATTACCACTGAGCAGTGAAAATTGAAAAGACCGAATACACTTCGAAATGATTATACACACAATAAACGACATCATCAAATCTGTCAATTTATTGCCGTTGATTCGAATTGCATTCTTCCAGGTATGGAAGGCAAATTACACATTTTCACCTTTACCTATGACAGCTTTAACATACCTTTATCTGAGTCACTGCAACTTTTGCGACATGTACAAGTAAGTCGGTGAGATTGGCTCTGAATTTCATCTTCCGGTTAACAATAAAAACAGATAATTCTAAATGGCCTACAATAGAACATAACATTAACTTAACTAAGCGGATTTATAGAAAATGTTAGATGCCGCAAACCCGTTCAATCCACATTTCAACCACAGGAAAGCTAAAATCTTACTTATAATAAAATGCAGATTGTGTGTGTGTGTGTATCTGTACGTTTATATATTGGATCGGATTTCCCATATTTTTCAACTGATTTCAACAAAATTTCACAGAACTGCATAAAATTACCTTGCGATGGTTCTGACAGTGCCAAAAATTGGAAAAACAATTGTTTTTTGCATGAAATCAATCTGAAAACACAATAAAACACGATTCTGTTGCCAGAATGAAAGGGGGACAACTCATATCGAGTTATACTTATAAAACGCAGGTTGTTTGTGTGTATGTGTGTGTGTGTGTGTTTGTGTGTGTGTGTGTGTGTGTGTGTGTTTGTGTGTGTGTGTGTGTGTGTGTTTGTGTGTGTGTGTGTGTGTGTTCATTTATATATGGGATTGGATTTCCTACATTTTTCAACCGATTTCAACAAAACTTCACTTTTTTTTGGCAGGTAATGTTTCTTATTGTCTTCCACACTTTTTTCTTTATTTTTACATTCAGAATGCTTTAAAAATTCCATTTACAAGACAATAGTTTATAATAAAATTCTGTTTAATCGGTAGACTCATAACGATTGAAAACAATGTTTGAGTTAGGGTTTGACCAATCCGTAAAAAAAGAAAAAAAAAAAACAAGACATGTGTGTCCATCAACCTTAAAGAATTTCTTTATCAATTTTATTTTTTAGTCTTTATGATGGTCGATACTTGATCTATCTCTTACTGTTACATCCCCGGGCAACGCCGGGCTCTACTGCTAGTCATTTATATTTTGAAACTTAACGCTCACGATTTAGGATTAAACACATCTTAGAATACAGGACAAGTATACTTTTTACAAAAGTAAGATTAAAATATCTGCATTTTCTAAAGTTATAATAGATAGGTAGCCTATAATTATAGGGATATTTTAATAGGGCCTAGCCTATGCTTATATACAGGATTTAATTGGGGGTAGTCTAGTCTTATATATATGTTTTAATAGAACCTATTCTACGCTTATATACAAATTTTAACAGGATCTAGCCTATGCTTCTATACATGATTTGATATACATGTATATATATGATGGACTCTCCCATCGAGTTCGACGTATGAGGTTCCGACGACCACGAACTAATTATCTGCATGCCTACGATGGGTATGACTTTTTAAGACCGGCTCGAGAATTGCACAAAAGACCACAAACAGTACAGGAGAGTGTATTGTATCCAAGTGCAGCAGGAACACTGTTAGCTGTCTTATTTTGCTTTCGTGTTTCTTGTAGTCGACTGATGCTTACTTCTTGATGGTGCATTATTCCTGAATGGCAGCAAGGACGATACACTGATCTCTTCATAGCTACTTCTTCAAAGTTCTTGAATGGAATGTTGACGCAAGAAAGATTGCTCTTCAGTTTATCTTTATACCTGAATCAAGGACTTCCAACATTTCTATGACCACTATGGAGTTCACTGTAAAAAAGAACTTTTGGTATGCGATCGTCACTCATCCTGGCCACATGGCCAGCCCAACGTAGCATTATGAAGGCCTCGATGGTACTAATCTTGCATTTCTCAAAAGGGTCAGCTTTTGGCACTTGATCATCAAACGTTAGACTACAGATTGTACGGAGACAACCTTTATGGAAGACATCTACTCATATAGATAGATAGATAGATAGATAGATAGATAGATGTATGTTTTAATAGGGTGTAGCATATGTTCATAGAATGTTTTATAACGCGTAGCCTACGCTTATATAAATGTTTTACTAGAACCTAGCCTGATTAAATACAAGTTTTAATTGGGCGCTTCTATACATGTTTTGATAGGATCTATCCTACGGTTATATGCATATTTTAATGGTGAGTTTTCTACGCTTATATACATGAATAATAGGTCATTTATGTTTATATACATGACCTAATAGGGCCTATACTAAGCTTAAATATAATATCTATTTGGGCCAAGTCTACGCTTAAATAAATGATATAACAGGTTTTAAATCTACGCTTTAATAGTATCACGTATACGCTTATATACATTTTTAATAGGGACTAGAATATGCCTATATGCATGTCTTAATTCGGCTTATGTGCATTGTTTATTAGGAGCTTCTTATCTTCAATGTATGGTTTAGGTCACTGTCTACACATATATACAGAATTTAATAAGGTCTTGTCTACCCTTATATATATATATATATTTTAATGGGCGTAGCCTATATTTATATACGTTTCTTTTAAGTACCTAGACTATACTTATATACATATTTTAAAGGCTCTAGCCTATTTTTATATTCATGTTTCAACAGGACCTTCTCTTTTATACATGATTCAATTGGGCATTGTTTACGTTAATATACAAGATTCATTAGGGTATATTCTAAGCTTCAATATATGTTTTAGCAGGGCATTTTCTGCACTTATATACATGATGTAATAGGGTCTAATTTACGCTTATATGGTTGCTAAAATAGGGCCTAGTCTAAGATAAATATATGTTCCCTTTTTTAACCTTATATATATGCTGTAATATTGCCTAGTTTAGGCCTATATACATGTTTTAACACTAGGTAGTTTACACTTATATACATGTTTTAATAGGGCATAGTTTAAGCAATTATAGGTTTTAGTAAAACCTGTCTACGCATATGCTTTAATATGGCCTACTTTACATTTTTATACATGATTTAATAGCTCCTAGTCTACACTTTAATAGGGGTTATTCAACCATTATATAGATTTTAATAGGACCTAGCCTATGCATATACATGTTTTAATAGGGATGTATATTACACTAATATACATGATTTAATGGGGCCTAGTCTACGCTTATATACGTTTTAATAGGACCTATCTCATCCTTATATGTATATTTTAATAGTGGTTATCAACGATTAGATACGTTTTAATAGGGCTTAGGATGATTATATACATCACTTAAGCGGGTGTTGTCTATGCTTATATATATTTTAATAGGTGTATAGCCTCGTCTACGGTTATATATATATATATATATATATATATATATATATATATATATATATATATATATATATATATGGCATTATAGGCCCTTGGCTAATATCATTATATTTTTAGTAGAGCCTACACCAGGGGTCGGCAACTCATTCGACCCCGCGGACCGGATCGCGTTATAATGACGGGTCGTGGGCCGGACGAAGGCCATCAATGAAAAATTAAGGAAAATTACATATGCAGACCCCTGTCAACCTAAATATTAAAAACCATAATGAAAATAAATATTGAGAAATCAGAAAAACAAAAGAAAATCTAAAATTAAAAAACACCTAACAAAAATTACTTTTCCTCAAGGAACGTCAAAATACTTCAAAGTGAAAAAAATCAACCGAAGTGAAATGGATGAAATTATGACGTGTAAGTTTGAAACTGTTATTGAAAATTGTTCCACAAACGAACTACACACACACACACATCAAACAAAAACAAAGCACATATACCCATACATACAAGTACAAATAATTGCAAACATATTCACTTACGTACGTACACATGCGGTATCATCCACACATTCATGAGGCATGTATGTATAATGCGCGTATGTTTAACTGTCTGTAGATTTCTGCTACCTCGCATGTCAGTCCCTCCCTGGCCTCTTTCATTTTATCGTTCCTTTTGCTTCTGTTATCTTTTAATGTAGCCAAAGGTCATAACAAATATGTATCCATTATTTGACATTAAACGTAGGCAACGTAACTTGGTAAAATAAGTCTCATGAAAGATAACTGGCAGATAGTCTAATTCGAAAGCCTCGTCTCTCATGTTAAAAATAGAATCATTGGTAATCAGGCTCGCGGGCCGGTCAAAATGTCTTCGCGGGCCGGATCCGGCCCGCGGGCCGTAGGTTGCCGACCCTTGGGCTACTCTATGCTTATATTCATAATCTAATATTGCTTTGTCTACGCTTTTATACATGATTTAATTGGTCCTTGTCGACACTACGATACATCATTTAATAGAGCATTGTCTATGCTTCAATATATGTTTTAAAAGGATGTTGTCTATGCTTATATTCATGTTTGTTAGAGAAAAGACTACGCTTATATACATGATTTAATAGGGCCTAGTCTATGGTCAATATATGTTTTAGTATGGCCTACTCCTTTATACATGATCTAATGTGGCCTTGTCTACGTTAATATACATGATTTAATACAAGATTCAGGGTTTTATATATAATTTAATAGGGCTTATCCTAGGGCTTTATATATATATATATATATATATATATATATCTATATATATATATATATATATATATATATATATATCCCGTCATTTTTCGACGTATGAGGTCCAGTAGCTCAATTCTAGAAATATCAGAATACTCACACATATAATTTGATTATAATGGTAAAAGCTTGTGCAGAACCAACCACACTTTTTGAAAGTCTTCGACTCGGCCTCCAAGCAATCCTCCTCAGGTTTTGAATTCAGAGTTTTCCTTCTCATAGACCGGCTACCATCCAAGGCTATAAGACTCAGTCTGTCTTGCTATGTAAATAGCCTATTCCTGGTTTGGGACAAAGATATGGATTCACACCTTTGCCGTAAGTGTATGGAACGAATTTGTACCGCAATTGGAACTCAAATCGATGACTGAATCCATTGCTGTAACAGAGGATGACAAACTGGTTATGTAAAGAAAGAAAAAACGAAGATGTTAACAGGCTGTCAGCAATTCTCGTGTGGGGCTTAAGGTCGAATACAGCTTGCACAACACCGCAACGACCCGTACAACATTCCCATAGAAACTAGAGACAAGCCTAAGAAAGATATCCAGTATGGCCATGAAGCGGGTGTTAAATCAGAGTTTTCTTTCTCAAGAAAACTGCCAAATGACTGATGGGGGGTATCACCCTAATTGGGCTCAATGCACACCTGAACACCATCCCAGGAATTTCCATGTACACGCGTGATTTCCTAGAGTTTTGTTTTTTCAATTTGGAGGTCAACTATATATATATATATATATATATATATATATATATATATATATATATATATATATTGTTATGGTAATTTACTCACGTACGCATGGGACTCTCCTGGGTATAAATAGGAGCAGGCACTGCCTTTTTGGAGAGTGAAGTTTCCATCAGTCAGCTCTGACAGTTGGACCGAACATTCTTGCTCTAACTCTCTCGTTTGTATATATTTGTTTTACTGTTTTTCTGTTAATATGTTTGTTTAATTCCTCTCTTGAGTCTTTAATTCTGGCACTAACAAGGCCACACATATATATATATATATATATATATATATATATATATATATATATATATATATATATATCCAGGTAAGATGTGAACAAATAGACTAAATTTCAACGTTCGTAACATTTAATTTAAAAGAGGGCTCAAGTGAGCAATATTATTTATTTTAGGATGTCACATCGAAAACAAGTCAAAATCACTGCACAAATTATATACATACATATATATATATATATATATATATATATATATATATATATATATATATATATATGAAAATATATAGAAAATAGGAATGAACTCGTTAGGTAAATAATCCAAAGTTCTTTAGTATTTTTGTTATTATTTTTAAAAAAACAGTGCTCGATACAAAAGTAGACCCTAAATATAATTATTTATTTAAAAATATGATTCCTTCGCTACATAAGAGTTCTCATGTTTCAAAACAAGAGCCGAAAACTTCAATATAATTATTTGAATTAAATTGAATTAAAGTACCAAGCTCTGTTCCATCTTCAAGCGAATTTTTTTTTTTTTTTAATAACTAATTCTTGAAATTTACGCGTTTTATAATCATATTCATTATTAAAATTAAAATTACTAAGGCAACGGCTAGAGCAATTATTTTTTTTAAAAAAGGGAGCGTAAGGGTTAATAATTTGTATCAATATCTCAGTTACATTCAAAGAGGTCAAGTCAGGGTAAGGTTGGGGTGTCTAAATTTAAAGCGGAAAACGACATCGTCTAGTCTGGTTAAGTGTCTATGGAGATTTATTTATTATTTCATTTATTTTATTTTCCCTGAAAGGGTTTTGTGTATATAAAAAAAAAACTGTCATAATTCGCTAACATAAATTTTTTTTGACGACTTCATAAAGGGTTTTTTTTTTCTTTTTTTCTTTTTTTTTTTTTTTGTTGGGTAGGGCATTTAAACTTTTTATTTAGACTATGGAGTTTAAAATTTGTATTTATTATTTTATTGTTTGTTTGTTTTTTATGCTAATTATTCAATGTGAAAATTTGATGATGTCAGCAAAAAACCGTTAACTCATGTCTATTGTTTAATAAATTTTCATTATTTAGAAACTTAATAATGTGTAGCTTTTCATGTAGGCATAAAGGGCATGGGTCATCGCAAGTTTTACAAGTTCTAGTTTGGTTTATAATTTTCCATTTTACTTTTTTTGTGTTTTATTCATTTCCTTCAAATGCCAAAAATATTTAGGGAGATGTCTGATTTCTTTTATTTATATTGTTGAAGGAGCACTTATGCTGCCTCCCTCTGGTTTTAAATTCATTCTTCGTAGACCCGATGTATATCATATTAGTATTAGGACTCTCAATGGATGAGACAGTACATTGGTATACCACAGATTTTACGCGGCATTTATTTTCCAATGGGCAGTCTTCTAGGTTTCTACAATCACATAATTTTTCATTATTTTTGCCTAATTTTAAT